CACTCTAACATCAACCTTTTTTCACTGATTTTTTGTTTGCTCATGCAACTGACTTTGCTAAAAAAACTGAGGAGGGACTACTCATGTACAGACATCACCACTCTTAGCATTAGTTTAGTCCTAGTCTCCCATTAGCTAAGGTTTCTGACTTTCTGAGAAGTTCCTTTTTAACTGATGACTACTGAATTAAAGGTAAATAGAAAAAGGACTTGAATATGCAGGCATTGCTTTACGATGTTTTGTTATCAAGATTTCACCTCTGTTCCCCTTTACCTTTTTCTATTAAACAAATAGATTTCGTGACTGGCCGTGTGTCTTTTCAGATCACCAATGGCGTCAAAATGTGGTAAGAACAAAAACAGGCACACAAAGTACAGTAGAGTGTGTCCCTGATGTCCTTACTACATTTTGAAATCTTCTATGCTTCATCCAAGTTACTGCGCAGACAAACAGCATTATGAAATCAATGTTTTATTGTTTTGATTTAAAAAAAAAAAAAAGAAAAGACAACAGTGAGATCATCTGGGCATAGATCTGTCTTCCAGTACATCATAAGTAAGAACCAATCTAAATATGTGTATAACTCAGCTTATCATCTAAATACTACTATTGCTGAGAGAGGAAACCCCTCACCCTCCCCCCCACAACACCCCTCACAGAAAGCATCTTGATTCAGTTAGATAGGGCACATAGTGCGTCACACTTCTGGAGCCTGCCATGATTTTTTTTGGTACAAAACATGATGTAACAGTTGTGATTCCTTGTGAAGGATATAAATCAAGGACAGATACCCCCCCCCCCCCAACAGCATTTTGACGGAATTTGATGTCCAGTCCATAAATGTTGAAAATCTAAACCTACTCAGATGGGGAAGGTGGGGGGAAGCAGATTCCCCTCACTGTCCTATTTATTGATGATATGCTGATTAGATTATAATAATGTTGCAAACTACTTCCTTACGTTCAATAATTTCTTTCCTCTTGTTCTCAAACCAAGTATAGAGAGCTGCTCTTTTGCTTGTCTTCATAGGAGTACCCTTATTCAGATGCTGTGATAAGTGACTCTGGTTCAAACCGGTGGATTCCACCACTTCACGCTGTGGAATGTTGTGTTGCTGCATATACATTTTTATCAACTTGGCTGCTTGCCATGGGTCCATTCTAGGTAATTTAAAAAAAAAATTTCAGCTTCAGACTATCTTCATCTTGAAGAGTTTTTAAAAAATAAATTGAGTTTTCTTCAGTAATGACTYTGAGTCAAAATTTCCATTGTGTGCGCTCTTAACTCTTCGACTCCCACGAGTGGCCAAAACAGAATTTCTCCTTATAACATCAATACCACGTCAAGCAGTAAAGTGCAAGAGTTAACAAAAATATTAGTTGGGGGAATATTGGTTAATCCAATACTAAATTCTCTGATCCAACATTATAAGAATTGTATGGCAGACAGTAAGGAAAATTACTGATATGATCTTGGGAGTGAGAGGGTTAAAAGTGTCCCATATTCATCATAGGGGATACGCATTATTTGTTCCAAGTCTTGAAAGCAAAGATGCCTATCTCTAAATTTCAAAATCTAAAGATGTTTGATTTTGGATCATGTTTACCCCTCATATATTTGTTCTTTCTACCCCCTTCTCTTTGTCTCTTCGTATAAACTGAGAATGCTGAATGAACACCCACAACTTAGAGCCACTTCCCCCTCCCCCCCCCTAAAAAAATATTGAGGAATAAACAACTAAGGAGAGAAAACATATACCTCTTATTGACCAAGTTAAAGGTCTGCTCTTCAAGCAACAGACTGAGTTTTTTAACTTTTGTCTATGTCCCATCACAAAGTGCAAGCCATAAAACTGGGCGGAAAACAAGGTTTCATAATTTACAACATGGATGGAGAAAATGAAGGTAGTAAGATATCTATTACATTCCTGGATTTAAATGAGAGGGAAATGATTTCAATTCAAACACTTTTTTGAAATATGGCCTACTAATTTGACCTAATCACATGGCAAGAAATATAACAAAATCGATTTCTCCTCTTCTACAAAAACAAATTTAACGTCCAATTTAAAACAAAGTTCTAAAAAAGCCACGAGATTTGTTTCATTTCTCAGAGACTCTTGGTTAATCTAGGGGAGATGGAAAATGCACGAATGTCCAGGAAAGAAAACCAGTTTCTTTAACCTTGATGTCACTAAGATGGATTTCACTCAATGGAACACAGTTATAAAATAGCACAGACAACACTATCCATTAGAAACACTTAATTGAAAGTAATCATGGAGCAACTTCAGAATTCCCGGCCACTTATTTAAGTCTTAATTTATTGTCAAGAGCAGGATAATTTTCCGCTACCTTCTTAGCCTAGTACATAACAATGAGCGCATGGTATATTTGGAAAGTCTTTCACAATTTTGATAAATTTTTGTTACTCCCGTTAATGCGAGTCAGTTTCCGGTATACGTAATGGTTGTTTGGATAGAACTTTTTCTCTGTCTGCGTTTTGTGTAAGCTCCGAGGAAACTACGCCAACTGAAGTGATAGAAGTTTCAAACTCCCTGGCGTGAGTAATATCGCTGACATTATTTGCAGCGTTGCCTCAGACATTGCCTTTAGATCAGTTGACGACCATGGAATTCTCATGGCCGTGTGAGATAAAATTTCAAAGGGTGTGAAGAAACACGACGAAAACGAAATAATAAGCTGATATCCTTCCTGTGCATCGCTCAAACAACTCATGTCAAAGTATCGAAGCTTTTAGCAACGGTTAGTTTCAGTGAAACTATGCCAACGACGATTCTACAAGAACGTGCTGTTAAAAAGAAAATGGCTAATTATTGCTTCCCTCTCGTCTGTCAACGAGGAGGAAATCGACAAAGAAACCTTGCTGCGCCGAAGGGAAGAACGAAGCAGGCTTCAGATAAACAACAGCGAGAATCCATCTCGCTCCGCCATGCTACACTCAATAAAAGCATTGTATATTCATGCCTCGAACTCCACTTCCTCTGCGTTCTTCAGGTTAATATTTAATCGTCTTTCTTTTATGATGGACCCGAGCAAATCATTAACGCGACAGATTTTCTATTCACAAAACAATATAAGTTGGGAATTGATTTCATAAATAATGCAAAGCGACCCTGTTACATTACATGATGGTTTCACACAAGTACGTGAGTTTCTCGGAGCGAACTCTGTTGACAATCGAGATTTGCCAAAGTATCTTTAAGTTTTCGTCGGTTGATCGAAAGTTCAGATGAAAGGAGGCGTTGGTTTTAGTGACGATTCAGTTCTTCGGCGTGATCGATGGGTCAGACCGTGTGATGGAAGTCAAGTTTTTATTCCGGAGAACTGATGCGAATCGAACACCTGATCGATACAAGTCGCGTGCCACCAGTGAAGGTTAACAATGGGCAAATGAAGTTTATAGATCGGCGAACAATGGAACTACGCGTGAAATCAAAACACGTTCGATGTAGGGAAGAAAGGACGCGCTCTGGGTAGTACAAAAGATGAGTTTCTTATGAGGTTAAAGAAAGCCGGTTAAATATAAAATGAAAGTAACGTATTACAAATGAAAAATTTTCTATTCTCAATCAACGTATCAACAGAACTTGGTAACAGCGAATACGAATTTTATTCCGCCCATCTATGGCAATCTCCAGCAAATGTAGTATACGCAATGGACTCCATGATGTGGAGATCGACTACGAGGAGTAAACACTTACCCGAGCATTTGATCAACAAAGCTGATCTGCTGTGCTTCCAAGCTCACGTCTCTTGTCAACCTTCTCTGAGGAGCTTCTTCGAGTTTGACCACCTCACTTTTCACCTGAGTGCCTTGCAAGTGATCGCTGGAGTTGTGCTTGGGTTGTTGCTCTACAGCTGTACCATCTGCGCGTTGAGCACTCTGCGCCAGTTTAGCGTACAACTCATCGCAAGCGCTAAGAAGGGCGTCTTTGGAAATACCACTACTGATCAGAGCTCGAAGTAACTCTCCTTGTAAGGGTGTGATCTCTCGACTACTGGCGTTTCTGGCCATTGTGTTGAGCATGGCTTGTTGGTATAATTTTTGTGAGCTCTGTTCTGCTGGTAAACAGGACCAGAAACTCTTCTTTGAGTATGCATTCCTTATTGGTCAGCGTAGTGGTTTGCGTGATCGTTACATTTGACTCCTGTGGAGTTTTTACCTTCACTTCCGATTCAAAGACCATTTAATTCTCTTCCAAATAAATTTTAGTTTGAATGTCATGATTCAGTATTTTTGATCGTGACTGTGAGATATGGAGGGTACCATCTCATTTTCACACCAAAAATGAAAGCCAAGGGTTCTACTCTGAAAGCAAATTCTCGAGTATGATAGGCATGCTGTGTGAACGTTCCATTTTACAAAAAAAAAAGGGGGCAAAGACAGAAAAACGCCAAAAATCGACCAGAGGGTAACAATGACGGTTAAAACAAAACAGAGAACTGTAAGTAAAATAGCCATGCAAAAAAATAAAGCAAATAAATAAATAAAAACTACAAAATTTAGGAGAGGATCCATCACGGTAACTTTCTGTTAACTACTCGCTCTCCTCAACAACAAGAGATAAATTTTCATACGAGGTGGAGGTAAAGCAATCGATTTTCCAAAACAAAGTTCAAAATCACAGCCAACACAGTCTGGTCTCTCGTAACTATTTATTATCGACAAACGTTTTCAGTGATAATACAGTAGACGCTCGTGGCGGAGAATTACTCTCTGAACAGGACAAGCGTATTTTTTTTAAAATACAATTCTTAGGTTCAAATTAACCCTACTTCAAAGGTCTGCATGAATAACCCGACCGCTTCAAAGGTTAAGTCAAATTGTGTTTTAGGAATACTTCATGAAACTTCCTGTGGTAAAAAGAAGTTTCTTTTTGGTTTTCTTCTGCTTCTTTCCACTGCTCCGTTCCCCTGTGGCGCCTAAAGGGAACAATCATACACCTTGTTAGTTAAAAGATTAAAAATCTAATTGTACATGCGCTCTTAGCTTAATTCTAAATTTATATGCTCGAATCGAAAAGTCTTTTTTTTTTCCACTCGCCATCTGCAGGAGCTGCCACCTGTCTCAACAACGCGACCACCTCAACTGAACTGATCGAATTTTTCACCTTTAACCCTTAACACCCTGGCCTTAGCAGTGATATTTTCCGCTCTGTTCTCTTTACAATTCCTATGGTATGGTACTGACAACGAGAATTTGTGATACCAGGAGCTCCTTATTTCCTTTGTATTTGACTTGACGGTGATACTGCATGGAGAAATTAGTAACCAGCCACCCTACGGGTTTAAAGGGTTAGGGAGTTGTACTCCTTAATAACAACTTTAACTCCAAACTAAAGTATCAAAATGTAAAAGTCTCCGGAAGAACTAAACATTCAAACAAGGCTGTACGGTATAAAAAAAAATATTGCATCGCCTTTCACTTATTTACAGACAGAGCCGATGACTCAATGATGGCTGCCTCTAGTCCGAGCTTGTGAGTTAATTTACGCGATTACGAACAATAGAAGAAACACACGAAACCTTACCTTGACTTTCCTGGTAAAAACTACTTCTGGTCCAATCAGTCGCGCCCAGGGCCTCGGTGAAGGCAGACTGGAAAGTAGGCACTGGTGCACAATCCTCCTCGTCTTCGTCTTCTGTGTTCTTCCTCGCTGATGCTACAAAGAGTAGAAAACAAGGAGAAGGACGCGAAACTGATATAAGTAAAACAATCACATTGTCCCCTAAAAATATTGTGGTTAGGGGGGATGGGGGACAAGAAGCGTGGGTGACATCCAAAGGAAGACTGCTCGAATAGTTCTCATATGGCGCGATGACCAAGCTTAAATACTCAAACCAAATGGTTAGGATAACACAAAAACCATGCCATGCGTGTTTAAATTAAACTTTCCTTATTTGGTCATCATCAAAAGACGTGCGATTATAAATTAATGATGCCCCGAGTACACCGTATTCACAGCTTGGAGACCATAGCACCCGCCTTTGAGGTATAAAGAAATGCGCGCTTATAACTGATCTTAATGCCAAAGAAGATGGAAGTCGTCAGTTAGTCAACTGATAGATTGTTGCTGATTGCTTGACTCAGTTGACATGACTTGACTCTTGACATGTTTTACTCAGGAAGTGATCCTTGATGTACCTGCTAAAGTAGGCTTCTCCCTGCGTTTCGGAATATCAACAGCCTTCTTGGACCTCAGAGCCTGGAAAAAGAGCAAAACCACTCAAGTTAGTCGACGGAAAATACGCTGAGAATTTCAGATCTGCATAAATAGCATTTTCAACGCGGGACACATTAAGCCGATTCATACAGAGTCTAACTAATATAAGGTGTGGTTTTAGAAAATCACTGGACCTCAATATTTCTTAAGAATTGTTCGAAGCAGATAAATATTCTACCAGTATCAGCTATTAGCCTTCCTGACACTACTCACAAAATGAACATTTGAATGTGACGTTTGACTAAGTCGAAGATTGCTTTGAGCGCACTCGGCTAAGCAATGGCTAAACTTTGCTTAAATAACTTGCCTTTGGTTTTCAACTAACCTCGGCAAAAGATGGAGGGTTTGGTCCCAAATTATCCTGCAAACTGGCTCCATCTGTTTCTCCTGCGGCAGCATAACCTTCATCTGAAAACCAAGAGGAACGATACTTTAATTCACCGATAAATTCACCGACTGTTTTCTCTTTAATGGAAATTGACGTGAACATATTTTGCACCTTGACTAGCCATGGAGGCTGCAAACTGCATGAATGGGCTGGGCGACGAGTTACCGGGTGGTGAGAAAGCCAATGGACCGTGCTGAGCCGGGAACTCTAACTCACTGCCAAGATCTAAGCGTTCTGGAACTAGCGATTCACCTGTAAGATGGACAAACACACACTTTCATTATCAATGGCATTTAAGAAACAACTTTTAAAAAGCTAAATCAGATTAAGGGAAATTTTTTCCTCCTCCTCTCCCCCCTCCCCCGTGGCAACATTGATACACATGCAATAGTGCGCATGTACTACTAAAACAGTTCTCTTCTGTAAATTTATAAGTCATGTCAGCGCTCCAAGTTCAGATTTTCAAAACGTCGCCGTTTGGTGACCTTCAACTGTAAAACGGTCGCCATAAAAAAAAATTCAGTCCCTCCCCCCCTCCCTCAAAAAAAAAACCAGAAGCGGAGGACACTTCATGATATATTACACGAACGGCTAATAGGCCGAACGGCACGTTTTTAACACTTTGCTATTGTAAGAGAAAGAAAAATAAGAGACCGTCTAGTAGCAAAAACGATTTATTTCAACATTACAAAGCTGCCGAGACCGTGCAACATTGCCAATTGCCCCTTCAAATCGACCGAATTTGCCATTTTTTAACGCAGTCGAGTTTCTGAACGACGAGAGGCGAAAAGAGAAGCGCAGGTGATGCCGCCGCTTGTACTATTGATTAAATTCGTTCTATTGTTGATAATTTTTCAAGTACGTTTCTCTTTTAACGTGTTGGTCGCCAATTAGCGACTTTCGCCAGAATTTTAGTCGCCAAATATTTTTTTCACTCGCCATGGCGACCAAAATGGTCGCAGCTTGGAGCGCTGGATGTAGAGCACACAGTTTTGAGAATCGATACTCAAATCTTGGGAGTGTCAGGGGGGTTAAACATAATCAGGATAGAGCAGTACTACAAAGATATGAATAAATTTCTACTCACTAGTGAATCTCCCTGAGCTGTATGAAGAAGAATCACTGGATGAAATTTTATGCTCTTTCTTCTTCTCCATCTTTAACTTTTTCTGCCTCTGCTGTCTTCTGCGTTGAAGCTCCTCTGAACAAAGTAAAAGTAACCAGTTTGTATTAAAAAATCAATATTTTTGAGAAAAGTGGTCTGCAGTGTTTTTAAAGGTACACCAGTTTGGCAGTAGAGGTCCAATAGCTTTCGCAGCGTGGAGTTGTCTCCTTCGAAAGTCTTTAAAAGATGATCATACGGGTACAAAAAATTAGAGATCAGTGATAGGGTTTCCTCATATTGATCACCTTTCCTTGCATTATTGCAAATTTGTTATGCACGTGGACAGTATATCTCACCTCTGAAGAAATTGAGAGTTTGGCGTGACACAACAGGTGGTTTGATGTCCAGTTCACAAATAACAAACTCACAGGTCAGAGGAAGATGGCTCATGTAACGGAACTGCTTGCGAAGAGCCTACAATTACAGTCACATTATTTTAACAGGAAAAATATCCCACATCAACAAACACTACCAAAGAACTTCAGTGTACAGCTAAAAATCTGTTACAAGTCAACAACAACTTCTTGAAGGAAAACAGTGAGGTCTATGCCAAATATTGAACAAGATCCTTCCTTGAAAAACAAGAAATCTGTCTGTAAACCTTTGGTTACAAAATTTTCATACAAAAACCTGATTAACTGTTCTTTAAACAGAGAGGGAAGGGGGAGGGGTTCTGAAGAAAAGTGGTGGTTAAAGAGACCAGTGCTCCAAGCTTCAAGCCAATAATCTTTTAGAAGTTGCCATTTGGTGACCTAAAATCATAAAAGGTCACCAGAAGCATAATTTTATTTGAATTGTATTACAATTAAACCACACTTCTAATCTTGAAGTAACCAGCAAGACAGGCATTCAGATTACAATCTTTTCCATGTCTTTCTGGTCGAGGAAAATGAAAAAAAAAAAAAAAAGCGAACTCAGAAGTAAGCATGAGATCTAATTTAAATGTTGAAATATTCAAATCTTCAGACTGACCTCACTCTGGGTCAAGGCCTGCATTTCCACAATCTCTCCAGTAATGAATTCTGGACAATACTCCAGACTCCCATACTCCTGAAAACATTTCATGAATAATTTGGTCAATCGAAAAAAATCTATGAAAATTGACCTATCAAAATACAAAATGTTTATTAACTTTGACATTAAATAAAAGGAGTACCTTAATCAAGCAGCGTGCATTGATAGAGCTCAAGAACACATTTTGGCCATCATCAGCTGTAGAGACATGAAAGTGTTTGAACCTTATTTTTAGGATTTTATAAGCTTTTTGTGTGATACTTGAACAGAGAAGTGCTGGTATTTTAACTGCCAATAATCATGGTGTAGGCTAAGTGAAAAGACATGGTTGACCTAAGTCATATGAACTACAACATGGCTTGATGCCAATAATTATGGTACCGCCACCATTCAACAAATACACCCCTTCAAATACCTTGATAGAAGTAGTAGTGCTGAGTTGTGACAGCACCAGGAGATAAAGGTCTTGAAGACTCTGAACTAGACTCTCCTGATGTACTCTCACTGCTGTGTTCTCGTGCTCTCCTAGGGGAAGCGACCTCATCAATATCTTCCACGACCTCGGTTGTTTTACAGGTTTCTTTAGATAATGAATCAATTACATCAACATCCGATTCTTGTTCTTCCCCCTGTGCAACTCCGTCTTCTTCATCAGAGAAGGCTGCCTCATACTCGCCAACATCCTGTAGGATGGGGATAAAAGCTCGACAACCCACAGAAAATAACAAGAACCTTGTTTCTAACTCAGTGATAAACAGGGTTTTCTTCAAGTTTTAGAAGGTATTTCTGGAGGGTAGATGGTTTTGTGTATGAAGTTTTACTCATGATCAATATCAGCTAATGAGTACAGTGGCCAGAAACCAATTTTCTAGCTTCTGGCTCTTGAACATGGCCCTGGATAGAGTAAGAAATGTTATTTTTAAACATGTCAGAAAGCACCTTCCTACCTGAATTGCCCCTGGGGAAAGTACTTTCCAACTGGTAACTTCTTTAACATCTTTGCAATCCTCTTCCTCACACTGCAATGTCCCTGATCACATTATCAAAACAACTGCCATTAATTACTCCAGAAATCTTCAACCCAGCTAACATACAAAAAAAATTTACAACATGGTACTACAGTGCCTGGTCAAAACACTCCATCTTCTGTTTTAACCACTTCCTAGTCCTGACAACTTAAGCCCCTTACATGAAAAGAAACTACAGTTTTAAAGCCAGTTTACATCTCCTGGTATATAACTAGGGCTGATGGCTGAATGGTACAGATATTTTGCAACCAACTTTAAAGGGTTTACCGGGTCCAATACATCTCATTCAAACAATCTGATCATTAGTTCAACAAATTCTTTTGAAGTGGGGATGACATTATGCTCTAAATGAAACTACTGGGGTCAATCAAATGAAAGTAGGGTAAGTCAGTTGTTGATACAGTACTGTAACGATTTTGGCATCATTAGCCATGATGCAAGAAGTGGTCAAACAAAGAGACAGAAATCTGAGTCAGCTAACAGTGATTCATTTTGCCCTGTGTTTTGCGTACTTTACGAATTACATTCATTAAATACCCATTGGTTTCTGTCGAGCGCGTCCCGAGTATGCACAATTAAAAATCTCAGTTTCCAGTTTCTATTTTTATTGGGAATTCTGTCGTCTATTTCCTCTCTTGCAATAAGAGGGAACTTAAGCAGTGAAGATGGCAACCCCAAGGAAGACATCAATTAAAAAATGAATTTCTACTTTAAATTAGAATTTCGAAAATGGCTGCATGTGTTTACCATCTCATACGGCGCCACAACCCAACCTCAAAATAATGTGTAAAAGTAGCATTGAGTTCCAAATGGAAATTAAAATAATTTACCGTCACGGTTTCAGTTTGGAAACGATGCAAATTTTGGTGATTTCACGTTGTTGTTTTGCAGAGGACGGCTATGAAATGTACTAGGTTTTAAAGTGCATGTGCTGGACTATTGTTCTGCCTATTCGATCTTTTGTTTTTTGACGTCCTCGTGTCCATTGGCATCGTGGTTTGCTTAAGGTCCCTAATGGAGGGGGGGCTACCGAAGATAGCGCCCAGCAACTAAGAGGAAATAAAAAAACTTTGATTGGCTGAAACAGAAAAAGACAACCAATGAAATTGTCCCTTCCTCGAATTGCAAACAAAACGAAAGTACGCATCACAATTCATATGTAAATGCATGAGTTATGCCTCCAAAAAAAGTAATGAAACTTCTACCTAATCAACGTAAACTGAATGCTTTTTTTAATGTAAACAAGGACGTGAACAACAACAGTGATAAAAACGATAATAATGATCAAAGTCTTATTCAGAGTGAAGCCGGCGCTGAAGGCCCCAGTCCGAGTCGCATGTTCAAAATCAGAGACAGAGAAAAATTGTGAGACATTTTCAGTCGAGATGGTTGTCAATTTATTCATGGCTTTGACTTGAAAAAGTGGATAACGAAGAATAACTTGTCTTGGTTACTATTTTGACACAGTGCATTTCAGTTGTGACCCATTGATTTCTGCCTGAGGGGTACACTGTACCCATTAACACAATTTTCAAAATGAATCACTGAGCTAATTCACAGAGAACTTTACAGCATTTTCCTTTGTATGGTTGCTCAAAGGCTAGAGAAACATGAGTAGACAAGCACATCCTAAGCACTAACAAACTTAGTGGATCGTCCGAAACCCATCAAAAAGAGTACCGACCCCAAAACTAAACTTGGAAAACACTATCCTTGAAAACTTATTGCAAATTTATTGCACTTTATTTATCAAAAGAGATGCCAGTTACATTTAAGTACTAGCCATTAACCATTTTACTCCCTAAATTCTCCTTGGTGTCTGCATTACAATTCTAGTGATTTTGGTTCAGAGAATTTGATATTGGATCAACTAGTAATCCCCTAGTTATATTTTTCTTCTCATCATTTTTTTGGCTTGATACTGTAGTTGTATTGTACAAAGAAATTCTGTCACTCAAGGGAGTTGAAAGGTCAAGAAACCTTAACAGATGAACCAGACAAATAGATTCACTCACTTTCCATAAGGCTTTTCACTTCGTCCACACAATCCTTTGATTTACTCAGACTTTCATGACGAGCCTGCAAACAACCCCAAGAGTCAAGGCTTTTGTTAGTGACAGCAGAGGGAAAAGGAAACACTAAACTGATAATCTGTCAAAAAAGAGGTTACTGACAGAGAAAAGTTACACATAATTTGTTCTCAGAGTTTCAAAGCTGTACCTTAATTTCTTCCAGTGCTACCTCAATGTAACAAACTTCCTCTGACTGTAGAATGGTAAAATAAAATACAAATTACAAGAATTAGGCTTGAACAAACTCCAGTTTTTTTTCCATTTTCTATGAATATTCCCAAGCTATCTCTATGTTGCCTCTTTGATTTCAACCATTATCTGATAAAGCAAGCTGAGTGAGGGGCACAATGATAGTAAAAACCTTCTCCCAAAACAAGAATTTAACTCCATACCTGTTCACTTTTGGCTTCAACAAGCTGTGTATTCAGTGCTGTCTCTTCAGGTTCAACAATCTGTTTCAATAAATCCAACAATAAGTGAATTTAAAAAATCACTAGCCTTAAAACTCAACAAAATAATATTGTATAGACAACTATTTAATATTTACCCCCTTTCACAGTTTTAATAAGTGTTGAAACAATCCAATTACCTGTTTCAAAACTTCATCAGGAGAAGCCAGCAGTAGTTTTGCATAACGGATATCTACTTTATCTGGGAAATAAGACAATCAAAACTTAAACTAGATATCAACGCCACCCAATTCACTTTCTTTATGTGCTTTTTAAAAGGTCTATATTACCACTGAAACCAAAAGGCTTCAATTCCCTCTCGTGCCATTGGGCTTTAGGAATGGCAAGCACAGAGTTCTGAAAAGATGAAAATACATATCCAGATTAACAGCCACATAATATGTAAAAAATTCTCTTTAATGATTATGCTCTATAGAATGGATCTGAAGAACTTTCTTTTTTTTAACACTTGATGATATCCCAGTGAACTAAAAAATCTCAGACAACTTTTTTAACTTTTTGCACTGTTTCTATTCTTTATGGTTTGCCTTTTTAACATTTTATTGGCAGCCAAATTCTCATAATTACAACAATTGATAATTGTCCGATTAAGTTGACATTTACATATAAAAATTTAATTCATCAACTTTCAGCAGAGTTTACTAGAAACTGTTTGAAGCAGTAACCTTGAGCAACTGTAACAAAGCCACTTCCTAACGACAGGTTTTAACATATCACTTTTGATATAACACAGACGTGGCCATTTAGATTGTGTGATTCAGTTACACTTTCAGAGGAATTTTATGGCACCTTAGCTCGCTTCATAAGCCTCATGGTGATAGTATCACCTACTGAAAATGGGTGTGATTCCATGGCAACAACACTGAAAAGAAAACAGAAAAGTGGTGACCATCCAAATAAAGAAACCTGTGGGATTATAATCCACAAAATTCAACACCTACCTAATCAAAAAAAAATTAGACAAGCTACAAACAAAGATTCATGACACAATTTTTTGCCATCTATGACACTGCACAAAATTTCTTTCAACTGGCAGAGGTACAGAGCAACAGTCTTTCCAACTGTGTTGAAATGCTTTGTGAACAATGTTCACCAATATCTTCCTGTCAGCCAATAAGCAAAGCCAAAAAATAGGCATTGCTCTGAGAAACTGACTAGCAAGTGCGTTAAAATTTCAGAACCAAGAAAAACTATGATACTCTCAAAGTTTGAATATCAAAATATCTCATTCATCATTACACTGGGCATGGATAGCATTATTGTACCTCTTCAAGTTCTTTTTATGGACAGCTTCAAAACATATGGGACACTTGTGCCAAGAATTGTCGCTCTGTTGAAGCAAGATTCCAAATGAGAATAACTTATCTTCTGACCCTTGAGTTTTAAGATCGAAATACTATTTCTCTGCACTGTCTGCAATACCTTTCTTGTAATTTTTAATCTGAGAATTGAGCTTCAAGTCAGAGATCATCCCCTATTTGGTATTTCCATAATTCTCTCCACAATTCTGCTTGAAAATTTATCGATAACATCAGGAGAAATTCCTACCTAGAAAAGGGTTTACTTCCTGCATTATCCTAACATAACTAGCACCGTATAATAATAATAATAATAATAATAATCATTCAGTTGATTTCTCTGCAATAATAATAATAATAATAATAATAATAATAATAATAATAATAACTCCAAACAGAGCATAATTAGAAAGAAATCTAATAGTTTCTGGTTAGGTTCATAAATATAATAATAAGGTTCTATAGAAAACTATTAAGTGTCATCCACTACCAAGGAATTAGAATGGGTTTGTCTATGGCAAACATGCTAGGGTAACTTCAGCAAGAGACTAGCATACCCCCTTTGGGACAGTACCAATCTCGTGGTTCCTACATGCTTTGTGGAAATGTGATTTGGTGTGCCAGTAATCATCCAAAATGCTTGTAAGAAATACTAACATCAGAATACTAACCCATTTGCTCCCAACATTTTATTACCAATTTTCCTTACTGTATACTATACAATCCTTATGTTGTAAGTTTACATAATTTCATATTGGATCAAGTATTAATCCCCTAATTGATATTTTTCTTTTTCTTCTTATCATTTGTCTGCTTGTTATTGTATTGATATTGTAGGGAGAAATTCTGTCTTGGTCTCTCATAGGAGTTAGGATTAAAAATGTCTTGAGTATCACCAAACACTTACCAGACTTAGGTAATGAAGAATACAAGACCAACAGTAGATATGGCCACATCGGGTTATCTTGGCTAAAATACAGACAATGACATCTATCAAGATGACATTAACCTGAGATACTTTTTTCCAGCCAAAGAGCTAACAATGGTAGGATTTGATATAGAGATAAAAACTACCATTACCTCCGTAGCTTGGTAAATCTATTCAAATTTAGAGCAGGGCTCATTAACATACCCTTTTTTGTTTTTACAAACATTTTCCTGAAAACTTATGTATTTATCCATGGTCAACGAAATTTGTTAAACAATATCATATCTACCTGCCACAGGGGGATATAAACAGATTGGGCATGATGGCACCTCATGGCTGAAGATTCGCTGCAAAAATAATTCAAGATGAATTGATGACATGACCAAACAATCTGCATAAAATATATTTTTCCCATGATTTAAGGAAATCGTCACAAAATTTTTTATGTTATAAACTCACCACTTGTTCAATCAAATCCCACTCTACAAGCACATCAGGATCCATACCATGAATTTCATAATCACCACAATCTGACACTACAAACTGAAAGCTAAAAATAATAGAAAATAATTTAAAAATAATATCATTTTTTATTCACCGAAGGAAAAAAAAAGCCATCCATTTTGAAATTTCAAGGGTAATAACCATCTGAGTAAGCTATTTAGTAGTGGCTGTTTCTCTTTCCCTTTCCATAATTACTTGTCATTGCGAATGATCAGAGCTTCCTTGTGAAAAAGTCATCCACAGTTGTTGAGTCAATTAAAAACACTTGAAGTAATCATAAATACTCACTTAGCTTGGATGAACTGTTCTTTATTAAATGGAGTGTACTTTTTGCGACCATTTCTGGGGAGATAAGCAAGGGGCTTTTCCCTTGGTGCATACTTGAAGTTCAAAAGGTGATTGAGTGACATGCCATACTTTTTAGCCCCAGCAGTAGGACCAGTCACTGGATTGTCTTGTAGTACATTTGAGACAGATTCCTAAGAGAATGAGATGACACATTGAGTTTAAATTCTACCGTGCAACCTATTCACATTCAAAACTTTTTCCAGACATTTTTGACCATTAATTTCATTCTCTAGACTCAAGGTCATGAGTTGAACCAAGTGGCCCATAAGGGATTGCCATAGTTTAGATAAGACTGAACTTGTGGTAATTCAAAGTATTTCCTGGACACCAGAAGTTTTGCATGACTAACCATTGAGGAGTTTGTTTCAAAATAAGCAAATATAGTTGTTCACTCAAGGAATTTCCTGATTGTCCTTCTAAGAAAATCGTATCTACACATTTTCAATGACTGCCCATGAACAATTTCCAAGGTCAGAGTAATTTATTCAAACAGAGCTACTTTACTAAAATCTCACTCCGCAGTTAAGTACTTGTTGCAGCTTGGTTACCCTCCACTGTTTTGAGATTTACTGTATAATCTATTTTCTGAATGATAAGTTCCCAAATTTTCATACTTTTACAAAGATTACCAGACTAGTAATGTACTAGTTAACTAGTACATTATACACAAAATCAAAATGTTGTAACTTTGCCTACTATACAAGTTTGAATTAAAAAAATTAACAAAGTTAAAGGTATGCATGTTTACCCTTTTTGAATCTACACTAGACTGATAGAAACTTCTTGCTGGGGGCCTCCTGTCTGGCATAGCTCCACGTCTCTGTGGTTGATTGAACCCATCTCTCTTCTCATAGGAGTCCCTCTGTTGTCTGTAACGGTCTTGACTGGGATATCTACCACTGTTATGTCCTCTCCTATTTCTACCTCTCCAGTTCCCTTTACTTCTCAGGGCTGAAACAATGCAATGAGTTATTAGTCATAGAATTTCCTTAGTGGTTGAGTTGAATGGCTCAATAAGAAAATCTTTGGCCTTAAGGTCAAGGTCTATGACTAGTCATCAAAGTCCATAAACCATGATTGAAGCCACAAATTTCCACCTCATGTCTGACCTAACTCAGTCAATGAGCATTTTATCATGAGACAATGCCTCCTTTTTTCCCTTTCTTCTTTCTATTCACATCTTGCATTCCCTTATGTCAACCTTATTGCCTATCTTTTTATGCCATAGCATGCCACCCCTATACAAAGCTTCTGATTGAACCTTTTTCGACAAGAACATTCACAGGATAAAAGGAATTTATGGTGACCAACTTTAGTCCTAGTCACTATCAGTGTAAACAAATCACAGCTACTTGATACCACTTTGGCAAAAATACTGTTCAAAATATCTTAATTTAAAGCTTTTTCTCGTCATTCCCAAATAAGGCCTGACAAAATTCCTAACACATATGACGGCTTAAGAAAGAAAAACACAATTCAGTCTCGTTAATTACTACTGTCAGTTTCGTGTTTCATCGAATTGCGAGACAAGAGAGTATAACTCGCAATACACAATCATTTCCGTGATCTACATATCAGATAACATAATATTAATGTTTCTAAGCTGACGAGAATATCTTTTCAAAACAGCTTAAGAATATTTGGACTAATAAAACTGTTCTGAATCCACAACTAAACAAGCGTCAGGAATTAGTAATCTAAATTTCCAACTTGAGCAAACGATGCGCGACGACAAACCTTTTTTAAAATTTCATTTCTTTCCTTAAGAAAAAGTACAACAAAACTATACAATGTTCACATAAAATGTCTGACCCTTGAAACCGATAATACATAACAAAACAATTGTACAAGAATTACTGATACCTGGTTCCTTCCCATTCAGCTGTGAAGAGGGAACTACTCCTTTCGGCGTAGCTGTTCTTCCCTCCATCTCCTCGCACTCCTTGCTCATCCACTGCCCAAATTTCTGTTCTGTGAAGTTTTGAATTAAAAACTGAAGCGCAACAAACGGTCACTCCAACAGGAGAAAAGACGTTTTCGACCAATTCTTGCATAAACATGGCGCAAAATTCTCACAAAGCCATAATGAAACTGACGAAGCTCAAATGGTACTTTTTCGTTGTTTGTGTCCAAGGTTTTGGGAAATGTTAGGTTAAAAATGTACAAAAAACAACAAGGGAACGTTTGCTCCCTTGTAACACAGGTATTGTGTCCCTTACAGGGACTTTGCAGATGAAATAAAAGTAGTAACGAAAGCTCTCTGGGCTGCTGTAGCCAGCGCCAAAATACTAATGGTGGATGACGTGGATCAGGTGATCAAGTGGCACGGTTTGGATGAGAAAGGACTGAAAACCACTCGTTTCATTCTCAAGTCAAAACAAAAATAACAACATGGCGGACGAATGTGGCAAATCGCATACATTCAGCGAATTACAAATCACTTAGGAACCATTAAGCATCAAATCTTTCGATGTCATTTTTAGAGACATGACCACAGACACGTCATGGATGAACGAAACTGCTTAAGAAGGGTTAGGAGTTGGTGGAAATAGTTTTGAAGTTTATCTTATGGTCATCCATCGTCATAAATCATATCGATCACTTTACGTACACTTGTTTACCACACTTTAATACTGATCTGAAGAAATACCTCAATGTGTTACACCAAGAAAAAAACACGAGCAATGAAATAATCATACTCTGAAAAAAGTCTTCAGAAGGAAACGGAAACAGAATCTCAACAAGTTTACCTTCGTGCCGAAGTAATTTTCAGGCGCTAACCTAAAGTTATCCTTGCGGTGGTTTTAGATGGCACGGGAAGATATGGAAATAACCGATCAGGAAATTTGCGTTTTAAATCATTTTCAGGGCGAAACTGTTTGCTAGCCTTTAGTGCTACTAGAGGGGATAATATGTCCAAACAGCGAAACATCCGGACCCAAAAGAATTCGTCGACTGTCCACCACTAGATCAGATGCTTCCAGTAACCCTGAGTCAGAAATGGGAAATAAGATACAAGCTCTGGATTCAAAATGGATTGGGAAAGAATTGGAAGTTGCTCAAGATGATTTGTCTATACTGATTAAATGTGGTGATCACGAAATGTCATGGCCAGTAGTTAGTAAAGGTTTCAAGGTGGTTGTTCCTCTTAACACTGGAGAAAACTTGATTGTGTTGAAAGTGCCGCATAGAACAGAAATGAATGAACTTAAACTCAAGTTAACATATACACCAGTCACAATATCAAGGTATGCATATAAATCTTTTGATTGTGATCACTTTCTTTATTCTTATGACCCTAAAGTCAAGGATGTTATCATAAAGAGAAGTAAGAAGCTATAGCTAGTCACTCCTAGGAGTCGAAGGTGTAATATTATAGGAAGAAGCAGGACGAGACAAACATAAATGTCAACAGAACGACAGGTCTTTTTTAATCAAGATGGTGGAGATCTCCTCAGGTGCTAGTCACGTGACATATGTACACATAATACACAGGGATACCATACTACAACAAAAGGGTTATTAAGTATTGGTTGTTATGTGCTATAATTTCCTTAGGAGACTTGTTGATGTTAAATATTGTTTCTATGACAGATTTGTTCGTGTGGTTTACATCAAGTGTGCTGATAGTGATGGATCATTTGATGCTCCTGCAAATGTTCCATGTGGTGTAGATTCTGCTATCAAAAGACTTGCTTTTAATTCCCGACTTCTTCAGACATTTACAGCTGAAAGTTTGTACCAACATGGTCTAGGACGCCAGACATTCTGTATTGAGGAAGATGACACTGGATCACCCAAGGTTCACATATTCACCAGTAAACTGAAGACTTGTGAAGCTCTTGGTATGACAGGGGATCAGCTGTATGCATTTTTTAACAAGGGTAAGGATAGATGGATCCTTTTTTTTAATCAGTTATTATTTAGTTTTTAGTAACCGAGTGGGAGGTCTGTATGGGAGAATCTTGACTGACGTCGCCAGTACAGACCGAATGCAGTGAGGTCTGTACCAGCGACTGAGGTCAAGATTCTCCCATACAGTCCGACCTAGCTCGGGTAATAAGATGTTTATTATATTTAAAGAGTTACCCAGAATGATAAATGATGTTAACGGGAAACTGGCGACAGAAGTAAGTCTCAATTAGTTTAGCTTGTACTGTTGGTTCATTGTCCACTTTTATAATAGGTGTTATAAATACCCAAATGCTTCATAATTACAATGCACAATTGTATGTTTCAGATCAGATAATTCCCTCATATAAACTTGTCAATTATATGATTTATGGTTTTCCGGTGTTATTGTGTCAATGGTCCAAAGAGTAAAGAACACACTGCACCAAAATTAAAGAAGACTTGAGCATTTCAGAAATTTATCTAAATAAATATGACAAAGCTGTAGTTCAAACACTGACCCCTGTGGCAAACAAAGATATGTTTCAGTTTGGTAATCTGAAGTGGTACTAATTGTTTCTGGTGTATAGAAAGGATCCAAACCTGATGTAATCATTTGCAATACTTAAATGCCATAATGCTCCAGCTTAACTAGCAAGAATGACGAAAGATTTAAGTCAAGAAGACAGCTCAATGTCATCTAACAGTATCCTAAGCCTTAATAAATCAAATCCCAAATTCACCTCGCCGTTGCGTCAGACAGCAACATGTACTGGCGTTATTTTTGTCTTGGTATATCTGTAAATGTTTCTTTTTTGATCCTAAAAAATGTCACTTCACTCTTACTGATCCACTTTGAAACCAAGCCCAAAGTAGTGCATTGAATACGTTTATAAGGATACCGAAGGAAGAACCCACTTGTGGCAAGGAAGATAATCTCCCGCCCATATTATCAACCTGATAACCTTCTCCTACCCTGGGAGACAACTTACTTCTAGGTCCACTAACTATTGAGATCAAGCTTTTGTCCACACCTCATATAATAAAAGTTTTAAAAGCACGCATCTCTTATACATAGGTTTTTTCGCATGCAGTGACTGTGTTACTGTGTTATAACTTGTCTTGAGGTATATTAAGTCCTTGAATGACCTTCATAGTCATTTTTAACATTATTTTCAGAACTGAAATCATCAAGCCTCTTTGACCCCATGTGTAAGTTTTGGACTTTCATGTCCTGCACCCATTATGAGCCACCTTCCCCACATCTGTTTGATGAGAAGCATGTTACAAAGTACATCAAAGCTCACACAGCTCTTGGAGGGAGTCACCTTGCTCTCTTTGGTATGGGAGGGCTCCACACTTGGGCCCCAAGTATTAAAGAGTTGGTGCCATGTTTTACTGATGGACAGATGATTGACAAATTACAACTCTTTGATGACAGTGGTGGAAGGCAAGTCAAACATAATGTGATAAATCATAGCTCATTATCATTCTCATAATTATTGATTTCTACTAGTCAAAGAATTTCTTGGAGAAGAATTAGCAATATATGGGTGAAGTGAGGACCTGTCACTATATATCTTGAGGGGGGGGGGGGTTGGGTGGATGTAGAGAATTTTTTTTTTTTTAAGGGGATCGCATGATTTCTAGGGAGAATGAAGGGGTATCTGTTGCCACTAACAGAGTATCAAGGGGGGATAATTGAAAACTGGCTGCCAATGCGAATAATGGTTGGTTTTTAAGGTAAATAGGAAAAAAAAAAGAAGATGAAGTGAACAGAATTGAACAGAAATACAAAGGTTTAAAATTTAGGCACAGCTAGCCAGCTTAAACAAGACTCACTGAAAACTGAAATGATATATTTTGGGAGTTTTAATCAGTAAATTGAGATCTTTCTTGCCCGAAAGCAGGGTACAACATAACATAATGTTAAAACAGTGGTCATTAATTTGGTCATTTGCATTCAAGACTTATGCATGTATATGTATCTCAGTTAGAAAAATAAATATCTTCTTATTAGGAATTGCTTATAACAATATGCAATTCTTCAAAAGTACCGAAAGCATGTTTTTAGCCTTAGTAATATTTGACTGTTGTATTCTGTTCAGAGGAACTTACTGGGCAAATTATGCCACTGGTTTGGGTGCCTCTATACATGAACTTGGTCACTGCTTTGACCTGGCGCACACACCAAAAGGTATTATGGGAAGGGGATTTGATGATATGAACTGTGTGTTTACCATGTGGAAGCAACCCACATCTCCAGGAAAGGACACTTTAACGACAGAGAAATCAGGTCAGATTTTCTTGAACTATGACAAAATTCTGTCAATATTGCACTGTCTTGTCTAATCAAGTAGCTTACAATAGTTAATTTTCCTGATTTCTGCCTTGACTGCAGTCATTCCTCCTTTTTTATCTTTGTCCATTCAACTTCCTAGATCTTATTGTTATTTCTCCCCTCTAGCTGCTTGACATTTCCTTGTAAATTAATAATGAGAATTAGATGTTAGATCAGGATACAAACTTCTACCTGATAAGTTTGAATATTCTTATTACCTGTTTGCTAGAAAACGTATCAACATGATAGGGAGAAGTTTCATGTTGATCACTTCAGAGAGTTAAAGGGTTATATGAGGGTTACAATTCAACTACATTATCCCTCTAAAATAGAGCCATAAGAGCAGCACTGTTTGTAGTATTCAGTCATTCACATCTGTAAAATTTCCTGTTGACATCAAAAGGACCAAATAGTAGAAAATTTCTCACTACTTTTAATGATTTTTTTATAGTCACCACTAAATTAAATGTTTTTGAAAGTGTTTACCTGCTTAAATTGTATATCTATGAACAGGTTGAAATTGAAATTTTAAATTCTGTTCTCTTGTAAGAATTTAAATCACTCTTAGAAAGTTACTGTGTAGTGTGGATTCAGATGCTGACAATGAAACTTGATACACCAATGAACATTGCATTGCACCTATGGGTATAACCAAGTGTTTGTTAACCTACAGTTGTTGATACTGCTAAAGAAAAATCTGCTGACCAAGCTATAGCTACTGCTGAAGTATTAGCCACAGGAATCCCAGGTGCTGAGGGTCTTGTGCCCAAATCAATGAGCTGTACTACCAGTTCCTCCAGTGGCAACACTGACCTTGCCACACCCAATGAATGGTCACACGGTGCACACTGGTACAGATCCTCAGCTGTTTTACTCAGATATCACAAGTAAGTTAACAGGGGCTTGGCCTACAACTAGAGATATCATTTTTCCACTAAAGGGAACAATTTTTTTAGGATTTTTGTGACAGATATTTCAAACAGGTAACTTGATTGTGTAATGTTGAAAACTTTATTTGGCATATTTTCTAATAGTATTATGATGACACCTTTTACCTATAATTACTTATTTTTGTAGGTGTTGTGCCTTTTTAAATGTAGCACATTAACCATAATACCATGTAAAATTATGAGTTGATTTCAATAAAAAATAGTTGCAGCCTGTGTGGGAGCATTCTCACAGGGGCATGAAGGGGGAAATGGCACATGTAGTGAAATCCTTTCTTCCACAAGCTGCATTCATGGAACTGTCGAAACATATACTTAATATCCAGACTATCAGGGACTTAAACCTTGAATTATTCAATTTGTCTTAGTGGCAACTTCTCTTCACCTTTTCAAAACATTATTCAGCAAACTCAGTGGTATTAGGATCAGGTGGAGGGCATTATCTTGATGTAAAACCAAATTCTCCTAATCATTTAGAAAGATAATATACAGGAGCCAGAAGGGAGAATCGCTTACTTGATCATGGTAGTCAAAGGGTTACACACAGCAACTGCTTTGCTTTTTCAGATGGTTCTCCACTTCAAATGTGAGAGATAATGACATCCCCTCTAAAAAGCCCATAGTACACTGGTCAAGCACTCTCTGTGGTCCTGTTGGTAATTGTGGGGGCTGTCATCAGAAGAATCAGCTGTCATTCAACAGCGTCAAGTGGCTTGAGTCCCAGGGTGCAGTTCTAGGGGGTTTTATTATTCATGCCGAGGAGTATGTGAATTGTATACAGGTCTTAGGGAGTCAAGAAAAAGCGGAAAGTGGTATGGTTGATGGATGACTAATCCATGAGTGACTGAGAGATCATTTTTCCTTACAATTTCAATATGATAGGCAATACTAAATTTATCCAATACTAAATCATTTCTCAGAACTAACATTATAAGAATTTTATAGCAGACAGTAAGGAGAAATACTAATGAGATCTTGGAAGTGAAAGGGTTAGTTGAAAATGAGGAACACAACACTTTCTTCTACTCTCTAGATCAGCAATTCTTTACTTACAGTTTACAGTTTTTGTTTGTTTTCTTGGAATGATGTAATTAAGTCAACAATCATTTGCTTCTTTTTACATACTCAATCCATGGGTGTCTTTAAGAAATGTGATGATGAGAGAATTAACACTGTTTTAAAGTAAATTAGGGAGAGTTTTCTCCATGTTTGTCTGAACAAAAGATAGCCAAAGCAGTCAAAATTTAGGTGAATAAAGGAGGTAGGTTTCTAAAGAAACTGTGGTGCTGTGTGGGTGGGGGTAACAAGGTAATTTGGTAATATCAACTAAGTTGAAATTGTAAATTGGCTACCATAAAGAGTTAAAAAGCTGACGTTTCGAGTGTTAGCCCTTTGTCATTCACTCTGATGAAGGGCTAATGCTCGAAACGTCAGCTTTTTAACTCTTTATGGTGGCCAATTTACAATTTCAACTTAGTTGATATTACCAAATTACAAAATTTAGGTGGATAATTTGGCATGGTAAGTGGTGAATTCTCCTTGTATTTTCATTCTCTATAGACAGTATGTAATGAAATCCTGTGAATCAGGAATAACAGTGACAGCCAGATTGCAACTGAACTTTTATTGTGTTCCCAAAGCAGGATCTTGAATCCTTTGCTAATTTGCCTTTCTTGCGTTTTAACCCAGGTGAGTGTCAGGAAGTTCTTTCTGAACCCCATGGAACAGATGGCGTGGGTAAGCGGTATATATTCACCATCAACTCTCCAGAGGAATACATCACAGCTGTTGATATCAGAGCTGGTGGATGGATTGATGCTATTAGATTCCATACAAACTACAAATCCAGTGTTTGGATGGGAGGGGTGGGTGGAGATGAATGCTGCCTGAGACCCTCCCCTGGGAGAAACATTCTTGGTTTAATGGGAACAAGTGGAATGTATGTTGGATCGCTTGGAGTACTGCTTAGCAGGTTTGTTTATGTTAACTTATCAAATGTAATAGTTATGTATTACAAAATAAGCTGTGTTATTTCTCTCTTGTCCACCAGTATGGCAAAAGAGTACCTTAATGTACCTTTAATTAATGCCGCCTTTTTCTTCATTTTAACGATGAATGAGAAATGGGATATTTTTCTCAGTCAAGGTGGTTCCAAAAAGATGAATTTTGATGCTAGTTGTAATTCAGCAATAAAAGAAAATGGAGGTGACCCTGCTCGTTCTTGAGTTGCAGGCACATAAAGCCCAAGTTACGGTCTGGGTTAGAGTTGCTATGGTAGTCAACGGTGCCAAAAGCATGACCAAAACGTGTTCAAATGCAATTGGGAATTATTTAGAATAATATTATATTAATATGTAATAGACACGTTTCTCATACTACCTGCCTCGATTAGCTTCGCTATATTGCAGGTAGTCTTAATCTAGAAGTTAAATTGTTGTATTTGATCAGCCTTACCTGACAGTGGGCCAGTACCCAATTATCCTCCTGGGTGGAGAGAGGCATTATGAGAGTAAGGTGTTTTACCCAAGAACAAAACATCCGGCCAGCCCTCGAACCCAGACCTCTCAACCCATAGTCCAGCGCACTGACCATCGGGCCATCGCGTCTCCGGGCCACATGTACTAATATTTTTCTTTCCTTTTCAACTCTGCACCGTAATTTTTTAGTGATTTAGATAAGGAAATAACACCAACAGATGAGTTAGACCAACTAGTTATAGAAGCACCCCTCGGGATTCGGCTTATTGAGCTCTGGGATAAGAAATACAGTGAAGTGTACCAACATTGGGAATTCCTACAGCCACACCCACCCAACACGTTCACCCTGTCCAGATCAGATGCCAAGGACCAGGCTTCAACTCTCCTAGTTGAAGATGACCAGGGAAACATCTTTCGCACAGCTTTCGTATACAATTACAATGACTTCATTTGATGCAACGATCTGCAATCTGCGATTGTATTGGTTATAAACTAATAAACTCTTCGATTTGTCAAGGAAATTCACTACGTTGTGAGCAGTGCGTGGAAAAACGTGCCGGTAGTTTTAACTGGAGTAGATAGAGGGAAATTAACAAAAGAGGGGGGCGGTTCTGATCCCGTTTCACGCACAAAGTTTAGAGAAAATCACGCGACAGATGTCATTTCACGCGTCACAGTATTTCACGCGTCACGAATTTAAAAGGAAAAGCTTCAAATCTCAGCTTACTGCCTTTCTGTTAAATTCATGCTTCTTAAGTTTGGGTTGAATCACGCGTCTGTCGCCAATGGAAAGGTCACGGTGCTTTAATCACTAGAAATCGTGATTTATTGTTCATTCTCAAAATTTACAATGCTGTTCACTTCCTCGATCTACACAAGTAGTAGTCCTAATCCCTCTCTAAAAACCAATTGACATTGATCTTGCGAAATTTTTCATAATAACAATAATAATTATAATAATAATAGTGTATTAGACTGAATGACGCTGGTAATACTATGAAATATCAAATGAAAATTATAAATTTCTAATTGAAGCCATAATTATGGAATTTTCAAAACGGTCGGTACGATAGCGGGGTTCAGTAGAGAGTATGGTGTTTCTTAATGGTATCTTGACATATTAATCAATTTAAACGCCACTTACAAACCGTTAACCGCCTTCTAAATATGGTGACGACTGGTAGATACGAGTCGCAGAGTAGATCACTTTGTCAAGAAGACACAGAGTACGAGAGGCGTGCAGTAGGTGACGACGTGATGTTTGATGGAAAAAAAAAACGTGCAAGAATTACTCTTCCTTTTTAGTGAGCTAGGACACTACGACCCAATTTCTTTGACAAATTTTAATTATTCAAAAATGTTCCGCTAGGGAATGATTCATTTCGACACCAAAAAGACTACGGCCATTTTTTTTTTTAACTGGTTCTAAAAACGTGTGCAACTCTGTCGTCTAACCACATACAACATTTAAGTACTCGCAGCTGGTTCACCTTCTGGCCGTCTGCTATGGCGATCACTGAACCTTCCTTAGCTGTTTGGTTGGCTGGGGTGCTTTGGTTTGGTTTTTTGTTTAGTTTGCTTTATTACCTTGATCATCTTTTAACCGGTATCAACTCGAGTTAAAACACTTGCACATGCATTGGTGGCAATCGCTGTCTATTTTGCTGGCTTGTTCTGGCTTGTTCAAGAAGGGTGCAGGCTCCACATACACGCGTGAGAGGAGCCTGGAGTTGGTATCAATCTAAGGATAATTCCTTTTCCGAGTTCAGTGGCTCACAGTCACTTTGAACAGTTTTCATATTATGTTTGCAACGGCCTTTGAGATAACTATGGTTCAGGTTTAACGACAATAAATCGTAGAGCGCTCTTAAAGTATCACTTAAGTTATACT